AACATGTGAATCTACCCTTGCCATGAGCTCGAATATAGTCAGCATCGCGTAGAGTTTCAGCAATTAAAACCGGAGCAACATTAAGATTTGGATTCTTGATCAACTGCTCAAACATGGCTACAACTAATGAACTAATACTGTCCATATTAGTGGGCAAAATAACCATTCCATATATCCCTAAGGCGACAAAATTTAACCAGTCCTCCTCAGAAAGTGAACTTAGATCAGACTTTAATTTAGAATACATCATGTTCTAATTAACTCCCCAAACTTCATTTTTCTTCATAATGCAACCTTCTGTGAACTCTAAAGGAAAGTTCAAAATCCTTTGTAGTATGGACTGAAATTGCAACTTATTTAATTGAAAGTTAACAGGGTCTGGGACATAAACTTCTAAACTCATTTCTGGGCGACTGAATAATAACTGAAAATATTCTTCAATGGTAGGTACCAACTCAAACTCAGGAAAAACAAAGCAACGAAGATGCGGGACATAAAATCTTAGGCTTGCCCTAATGATTTCCCAGTCCGGCTCTACTTGCAGCACATCAGCTATTCTACCAAATTTCTTGTCAAACCTCACTTTGTCAAGATTACTCAGACTGTTCCAAGCAGCAACCAAGTCTTTTACACAAGGTCTTTTGGTCTGCACAGAGAATCCATCCTTGTGTGACTTGTTCTTCTTGGATAATGGTGGACATTCTAACTCTAAATTCATCCTTTTCCCCTTACCGTTCTTTTTCTCCAAAGAATCCATGTGTAAAATAATCAATTACCTACTAAAAAAGAAAAGGAAGAGTTAATGAATGTCATACCTTTTGGTCGAATTCCTCACCTAAGAAACACAAAATCATTGTTTAAAAATAAAATACTCCCAATGTGTCCTATGTATAAGGTCTTAGACTTTGAAGGTGATTTACTAGGCTGGCCGTCCTAGGGTTAAGTTTTTTGTCTAAGTCCATTACATGTGGTTTCCTAGTGGATCCTATACGATTAGGCTTTTTCAACTGCTAACTTCCATAAGTCAACAATTATTGACTTCCATAAAGTCAACAATTGCCAACTTCTATAGAGTTAACAAGAGGCATTTCATAACCTAATATAGCAGCAGCATTATGACTGTCAGGCCATATTAACCCACAAAATGAATCTAAAAGGGATAAATCTCACTTCACAAAGAAAGCATTGCGCTTTTCATTGCTCCATGAGTTATCCATCTATCTAGAGGTCGGGTTTACCCCGTCAAGGACAAAAATGATATGCAAGTGAGGTGTGTGAGGGAGTATACACAAAGTTAACATATAAAAGTAACAAAATAACAAAAAATAAAATAAAATAAAATAAAATAGAAAACTTACAAGATACTTCATGCCAGCTACAAAACAAAAGTTAGTAATTGAAAAACCCCAAAATTAAAGTATAAATGGCTTGACCCTTCAATGTCCCCAGTGGAGTCGCCAAACTGTTGACGTGCCAAAATGGATAGAGTCGTCATCTATCCAAATGCGGTGGGATAGATCACCAAGGTCTTCGTAGAAATTGACTAGGCTCGGAGGGTCGGTTAAGCATGGGGAAGATATTAGGCACCCCACAACTTCCATATAAATATGGTTACCAAATACTTTAATTTTGAGAAATTTCAATTTTTATAAAAATAATAATTACCAGGAAA